ATTACACCATAATTACAGGCTTCGTAAATGTCTCCATCCTCTTTGGAACAACTTTATTGATGTTTCTGCCTTTACTCTTCGGGTTTATTCAGCCAATCAGAGCGTTTAACAACAAACAGTCCTTCCTTGACCCGGAAACCAGGATTTTCCAGGATATGCAGGCACCTTCATCATTGTGTCATTGTTGTAGATGACTTGAAATTCTAGGAGATTACTTTGAATTAATGGGTAATGCTGGCAGGTATTAAACACAAAGTAAGAGGGTTACAGGAAGGCTCAAATACCTGAAAAGCAACTTTACTGGTTGACTGATGAAAGGTGAGGAAAATGATAAAAGCCTCTAATATGATTTTAGTGTTCCAAGTCGGATGTATTTTCATTCAGAACTTGTTTTTTTTCTCCCTCTCTCTTTTAAATATTGTATATACATTTTATATTTTGAGTGAAATAAATAAAAAATAAATACTTCTAAAGTAAGCGCAGATGAATTGCCCAATCTAGGGGAAGAGTAAMGGGTATCCTGTAAACTAGCAGAGGAGGAGCGGAAGACAAACGGGAAGCTGTAATAATTACTAACCACAACCAGATGTGTGGAGAGGAGAAAGAAAACCTACAGACACAAACGACAAACCAGCAAACATCAGGAGACAAAAGCAAGACAACCCAAACTTGGTGGTGGGGATTTATTTTCTTTTCCCGATGTACCACCTCTCCTCATTGATATCTGGCACTGGGACTCAGATATTTCACCTGCTGGTATGACTCCAGGAAAAATACTGGTGTCCAAACTACCACCACACAACCTTTACCTGCTATATTAAGAAAGAAATGTTGGGGATTATTTGCATAAAGAAAAGTAGTCTTGAAAAGACGACAGATCTGAGTAGCTTTTATTGCTCATCAGCCCTTCCGGCCATCATAGTCTCCTCTGTAAGCCCTTTGTGAACTCGGCTCAAGTGACTAAACCGCCTCATCCCTGCCTTCACCTTCACGCTTCCTGAGCAAACACGCGACTCATCCATCTATACATCAAAGCTACCTTACAGCTTCATTTGCAGACAGCCTTGTGTACTAAACAAGTATAAAGATGTCAGAAAGCAAGTCTGTGGCCAATACATCCCATTAACATCAATCTAGTCACCATCTTTTAACAGTGCTGCACTGAGGACCAGTTGCACAAAACCCCAATGTCCAGTGTGGCYTGAACACCAGCAGTAACAGCTCTTATGTCTCAATAAAACTCCATTAGGCAACTCAAAAGAAGCCATCCCTGGCTGGACTTTGTGGCCATCTTTCAAAATATAACACATCAGCGGGGCCTGTGGCGCTTCACCAGAGACATATTTTGCACTTAAACCTCTTGATATAATTAGGATGTGTCCTTGACAGCAACCACACACACATGCACATCTACACACACCTCAAGAGCTAGAATTTTGCCAAAGGTCATCCTCTTTGCTGGCATAATTCTGCCTTTGTGCAAAATTGAAAAGAAGAAAAAATGCCATTGTCACTCAGTGAACCCGAGTTGCAATATTTATAGAAAAAAGTTACATATTTGAAAAAGAAATGTTAAAAATAAAAAACACTATCTATAAAGCTAAATATGTAAATAAAAGCACTCAACACCTAGCATGCCAAAGTTTTAAGCTATAATCTTATAATAAAATCAGGGACAGTTTTAACTCTTCTGGTCTCCTGAAATGTTAACTATAATGATATCAGCAGCTAATTCTTTATAACGGTCTATGCATTTGGTTAAAGAAAGCATATAAATAAATAATTAAGCTTTCAAACAACTAAAGAGTCATTTTACATCACTCTCACACACTGTTATATCTCAGCATACATCTGCTTCCTGTACCAAACAGCTCCCTTTTAACACAGCTGGTAGCCATTCCCAAGGTTGCCACAGCGACAGAGCAATGGAAAATTCTTGGGAATTTCCATGTGGCAAAAGATTCCTAAGTAAATAAGGCTGCGCCGGTGTTACAATTTGCTCCAAACATGAACATGTGTAACTTTGAGCTTCCCATATTTAGCAAAACACACACATGAATAGAGTCAAAGAACCCCTTCCCCTAAAACAGAGGTCTGTCTGAAAATAGCCTTGACTGAGAATGGTTTAGAAGGGGAGTGAATAGATGAGAGACAGAGAAAATGTTCCTGCAAATGAGAGAAAGCGAGGGAAATGAGTGGGGAAGAAGTTAAAAAAAAAACTGTGAGAGTGAATGAAAACAAAGATTAAAGAGCAAACATTAAGGGCAGATTTCACAGCCCTGCATGTGTAACAGATACTGCTCCAGCCTTCAGCTGCTCGATGCCTCCTGAAATATACGTGCTTACACCAACTCCCTTATGGCCAAGAGGCACAAATCACAGCCAAGGAAACCCCGGGACAGTGCCTTCATCTGCTGCTTGTTACAGTTGATTCATCCTGCTCAAATCTCTGCATTAAGTTTGACTCAACAAAAGGTGAATGAAAATCTAGGTTAAAAGTCTTTTTTATTCGTATTTGATGAGATAATTTTCACAGCTTTCCAACAGAGTCACACTTTGTGATTTCATCTTAAAAGGTAATGCAGTGCCCCGGGCCTTTTTACATTTAACAAAATACAAGGCAACTATGTGCAATAATCTGCGTGGTGCGTAAAGTCATAGATTTTTTGTCACATTTTTTATTAATGACTTCTCTCTACAAAAAGCAGTCTAAAATGAACCTGTGGTTTCATTYTAGAGGTCTTATAACCTGCAGAAAGGCAGACAGTAATGATTTTGCTCRTATCGGGTTTTGCACAAGTGTTTGTTAGCAAAATATCTCATGACCCACTTGACATATGTGACCCATCACATGGAAATGAGGATTAAGTCAAATTTGGTCAAAACGACCTAATAATATTTTCAGATTCCCATCTTTAAACGCTACATTTTGATACTTAGATCACCCTGATATCTGTAGTAGATCCAGAGATATTTATTTTGTCTTGTTGGTTACAACGATATGTAAATATTTGGTCTAAATCCTAATTTTATGTCATTTTAATGAGGATTTTTTTATGCCATTTGAAAAAAAAGCCTCAAATAGTGTTTGAATATTAAGATTTCCCAGCTGGAAAGAAACAAAAGCTGTGATGGCTTACATTGAAAATCTCAGCATTTAAAGGTGTTTCTCCTCAAAATAGAGTTTTTGATTGCTAATGCACAAAAAAGTGCTTCAAAAAATTTTTTTACGATAACATTTTAGACAGTTCATTGAAATGATACATTGATTACACGTTTATTTGTTATATTTTGACAAATTGTAGTTTTTGCAAGTGCTTTAATCAAAACACTATATCTTTCTCCACATACAACTTTTAGACTTAATCCTCGTTTCAATGTGATGGGCCACATAGTTGAATGAAACTCACTGCATGCATATCTACAACTAATGAACTTTTGGCTGCCACAGCTAACTGACCTGACCCGTGTGAAATCAGGCAGAGATGGTGTCGTTATTTTCTTTTCTATTTGTCTAGCCCTCCCATCAGGATAGTTGAGGTCACAAACACAAAATATGACCCTTTAATTTGTTAAATCTAATATCAAACTCATCGGCATCATTAGTGTTTTATGGTCTCCTTTTCATCTATTCTGTTTTTCTTCTTTTTTTAAAATCTCCCGTTTTCTGAGTGTTCTTGATGGAGATCTCTGGAGAACAAGCCCCAACATCAAACCTAAAATGCAACATCTGATGTCAGTCAGCTGCCTTCGGGTAACAACGAGGAGGAGAGATAAAAAGGACACAAGGAGTTGAATGGAAAAAGGATGGATAGGAAACTGAGCAAGAAGACAAGACAAGCAAAGAATGGAGGACACTAAAAGAATAAATTGCGCAAAAAAAGAAAAATCCTTTTGTCTTGATTTGAGCTTTCCTCTACCCCCACCACGGTCTGCTCAGGGTGTGCAGCTGTGTTTTCTTTATGTACACAACCCACAGATCAATCCACTTAGTGCCCATGAAATATAGGGAGTGGGCAGACCGCTCCGCTAGTCTGACATCACTGCTCGGTCATTAGGCTAAGTGCCATGATGGCTCACCACCTTCTCTGGGATCGGCTGCGTTTAAAACCAAGGCCTGCTGTCTGAGGGTTCTGTTAGAGGCAGCAGGAGCATCAAACCTGTTGATGTAGGAGCGAGGTGCCTTTAATTAGGTCAGCAGCCTCAGACTGGGGCTGGATCAAGTGTTGCATCTTTTAATTTAGCCCTGCAGATTCAGAGGCTGGGAGTCCGATTTAGACAGAAAGAGTGATACCCTACAGGGGGATCTCTAATCTGCAACATGAGCTCATAATCCAAATGAACATTCTGCAGACTGAGCAGAGGGTTTTCACCTCAGAATATGAATCTGAGCTTTAAAGTGAAAACAATGAACAAGTCTTTAAAGATGCCACAGCGTGCTTTTTAGGATAAGTTCAAAAGAAATAATAATTGAAGAAAATACTGACTTTATTCATGTGTGTTTAAAAGTCGTCAAGCAAATTCTCAAAAATCCAATTATTGATCATCTGAGAAAAATAAACACATCATAATGATCATTTTAAGCAAAAGTTAATCAGCTGTAGATGTACATTTAATGCTGACTTTCTGACAGTTTCATTAAAATCTGACTTGTGTTTCATGAGATATTTTTTTGCCAACAGACGCGCACAAACAAAAACATTTAACATCTCTAAGGGTCTGTTTGACCTTTAATTCCAAAAGCCCTTGTTAAGAGAACACATGAAGTAATGTGCAGCCCTGAGGTGTGGCAGAGAGAAAGTTAACTCAGATGACTCACGTGACAGAGAGCTACAGGCTGGGAATTAAATAAAGAAATAACGTTTGAGAAAATCTAAGTTGCCTCTGACAACATCTGGACACAAACCACTCTCCCGCTAACAAGGACAAACAGAGAAAGACGCTCAGTCCACAGCTGGCTCGTCTCGCAGACTTGTGAGGAGCCAACAGGCTGTACTCACTCCGGGGGCTCCGGGAACAGTCCGGTCGACACAGACGAAACGCTTAACAGAACCAGAACACAGAAGGAGTAATCCATAGTTCTGTTCGGAACCCTCCTGCTGCCGGGAAACACGAGGCAAAGAAGAAGAAGAAGGGAAAAAAAAGAAAAAGAAAAAACAGAAAGACGCACAAATCCAACCGCGTTCCCTCCGCACCGCCACCGGTGCGCGTTTGGAAACTAATCTGATCCGAGACCCCCCGCCACCACCTCCCCTCCACCCCGCCCACCCGCGGATTAAAGCGCGTGCCGAGGAGCCTCCTGGTAAAGTGTGTACTGT